TAATGTGAGAGTCAGATAAACTACACTTAACTTGCATCGACTGTAGAAACTTTAACCTCAAGTCTCCATAACTCAAACCATTCTAGCCAGCCTTTACACCATCTTCATCATCAACAGTTACACTCCCTAAATGGCTCATCACTTAAGCCCCTCATTACTTTGCAACTCCCGCTCAGGCTTAAAATCCACTCTAACGTAGTCCAAATCCAGGCCTTTGTGTGCGCTTACCCATTTTCAATAAAACTGTATCTGGGTTGAGTGTTCACGTCTGGGTGAAGAGTGGCCACACAGTTGCTCATGAACACCCGGAGTCCCGCGTGATGTCCAACTCTGACTGAGGCCTCGATGCTGATGGGCTCGCCGAGGTAAAACACATTAAGCCCACGCTCGTGCTGCCAGTCGTCTGCACAGAGAGCAGAGCGGTGAGCATAAAATCAAGGCCAAGAAGTCAGCGATGGAAGTCAACTCACCTGTCATCAGCTTCAGGTCAAACACCAAGCGTTCCTCTGTGGTCTGCCTAGATGTGAAGGGGATCCAGGCAGGCTGGAGTGGAGAGCTGGACAAACTGTACTTCCTAAAACACAAAGCACGTTTTTAAAAGAGTGAAGAATATATTGATAATCTTTGAAGGTGTACTTTTTTTAAAATTAAAAATAAATAAAAGCGAATACAGACCTTTCATAATGGCACTCAATTGGAATCACAGCCTCCTCCATTCGGATTACGCCATGAGGAGAGGCCACAGGAGCGTAAATGAGGAGGTTTGTGTAGACTAGACATCCTTCAGTCATCTGTGGAGAGCAGGTGTGTTTATAAGTAGACGATGTTAGATTTAATACGTGTATAAGCTGCAGCACAGATTAGTTACCATGTGTTTGGTGCCGCAGTCCGCGAGGCCAGCGTGGATCCTGTACTCATCCTCAGAGGCCGCTGCGGCTCTGCAGTCGTCGCTGCCCTCCACTCCAAGGCGGAGGTCGTCGCTGTTAACAGGAGCTCCAATAGCAAACATGTCTGCCTTGATCACGACCTCCAGAGAGTCCGGGTGGCAGATCACGCCAACGGTGTTCACGTGCTCCCGTTCTTTTTGCTCCTGGTGCGCGCTGTGAGTGTGGCTGTGGCTCCACGAACGCGGAGCCCTCTGGAAGAAAGCATGAAGTGGTGGCGGCGGGAAAACTAAAGATGACTGAACGCAGAGTCCCGACAGGAAGAGCCCAACGAGGAGGTCAACCCAAAAATGTAAAGGCTCCATAAAGAAAACAAAAACGAGGCAACCAGCTTCGGACCGCGAGCGCGCCTGTCTGACCCACGAGACAGCGCTCTAGGCTGACACGAGGAGCGTTTTAAGCTTCAACCAATCAGCCTCGTCAGCGTACCCCGCACACCTGAGTCCACTCAAACACTAATGAGCTTCTACCTGCATCCACGCAGTCTCGGGGTTCCTCTTGCCTCCTTTCCTAAACTCCCTTCCTTCACAGAAGGAAAAGTGGGTAGGAAAGACGGGTAGGAGGCTTCATATGGATTTGGGAAAAGATATAACTACGTACTTTATGCAGATCGTGTTAACGAGAGCAGTCTGTGAGAAATTGTTGGAACTGTACAAAGATCTAACACCGAAAAAGGGTGCTTTGTGTACCTCGTGGTTGTAGTAGTTGCTTCTATGTGATTGTTAATTTACTTGTACTGAGAGGGAGCGAACGAGCGCGTAACTGGCACATTGGATGAGTGGCTCAAAGCTGTGAGCGAGGTGCCCACATGGCTCTGTCGTGAAACTCTTCTTCAGTGTTCACGATGAGTGTTTAGAGCTGACGCCCACTCACTGATGCTCAACGACGACACTGCTCAGATCAGGTGCGATTCTAGGATCAGAGCTTTGGGGGTGCTGAGCACCCAGAGAGCTGCCCAGCCAGGCAAAATAAACTTTACACGTCTTCCCTGTCTCTGTCAGTCCCTGCATCCTTAAATGTCTCCAGTTGTCCCAGAGTTCTCTATGACTGTCTCCTTGGTGCATTTAAACCCCTGTTCCTCCCTGTCCTCATCGTCTGTTGTCTTCGTCTCTGTTATCAGTCATCATAATTTTACCATCTCTGTGCAAGTCTGCAAATTTCTTTATTAAATCATAAGATTCTTAAATTCATCAAGTCTCTCTGTGCCTGGGTCCTCACACAAAACATGACATCACTGTTTTGTACATTTTAACACAATTTAATCCCCAAATTTTGAAAAGTCTGTAACAAAACCATCAAATCTGATAAAGGTTATTTAAATGCTGCAAAAGAAGAATGGATTGGAATAAAAAAAATACATATCCTAACCTTAATTACTGGGGGAGAATAATGAATGATGCTCATAGTGAGTAAAAAGTAAACTGAGTGCATTTTTGGACAGAGATTCACTTTTAATGATATGTATAATATAATACAGATACATAAAAAATACTCCCAAAACAGAATAAATTATTACAAAATATTAATAAAAAAATATAAAAATGGAGGCAACTTTGCCTGTGGTAGAATGTATACAATGTATGAAAAAATCTTTACTGCAGACACTAATTTTACTAATTTAATAATACTAATTTTGTGTTGTAAGATTTATGAGTTTCATGCTTTCATAGTGGTACTTGGGAGAGCTTGACATTTTTATCAGGTGGTACCACACTGTAAAAAGTTTGAGAAACACTGATAAGTGTTGTGTGCTTTTGGAAAACATTTAAAGCTGCAGTACAGAATCTTTGAAACAAGCTTAAAACATTTTTAGAAATAAACAGAGCATCTGCTTCTCTTTACAGCTCCTCACTCCACCAGGGCTGTTTGGCTCTTTCTGATAGTGTGCAAATGTGATGTAGTACTGCGGCAGTCATACAGACAACTGGACGGTCCAAAAGTTGGCCTACCTATTACTGGCTGAGGTTTTAGTAGAGTTGTGGCTGAACCACATAAAAATATATCATTAATTTAATCTCCCCAATCAATTATAATGTTATGTTGGAATGTTGTTAAAGAGGGTCAAAAATGTTTCAACCCAGTTTGTTTTGCAGATTCTGTATAGCAGCTTTAATATAGGGAGGACACAACTTCCAGATTGTGTGAGTAAAATCTTTTTTTCTTTGTCAGTTTAACAGTTTCTGTTGTGCCTGTCACTGTTCCCTGTCTGTTTTCTTACCTGGTTCTTCCTGACCTTGTACTTTCTCCTCACGTTCCCCTTTCCTCTCTCCCTCTTTGGACTGACAATCATACACAAATAGATTGTATTCAATTAGATGAAAAATTACATTAATATGAAAAAAATACTATTAAGATCACTAAAAAAAGTCCTCTCTAGTGTACTTTCAACCAAAAGGCAAATAACCAAACCACATGAACATCTAATAAAAGATATAAATATTGAAACACTGATCCAACATTATTCTCTGATTGACGGATCATTTGATTTTACACTTTTACCTGAATGTGGCTCCTTTTTTTGAAAAAACTTCCTTATATCGCATTATGAACCTGGCTGTCTCTCTGTACACAACACACACACACACACACAACAGGAGTTATAAGGTTAATGGGCATTCAGTCAGTTAGCTAGTTAGTATCCATTTCAAACAGGACAGTGGTAACAACAGCTAGGCTACGGACAATTTAAAGTTTTAGATTTTAAATAGGCTGTATACATTTCAATGGGAGCAACAGGACGGTCAAATGTCGCTGATTTTACTACAGAGCAGGACGGATTGTAGGGTAGCAAACATCGTCGGAAAACACGTTTTCAACACTGCAGGTTACCTGGTGTAATGTTTTTCAGCTAAAAAGAAACATGGTCTGACTCCTACCCACCTATATAAAGAGTAACTGCAGGTTAAATGCAGCTAACATGTCCTGTTCTCAGCCAGGCACTTACACCTCCGCTCCGCTGCGTCTCACAGTAGGGGAGAGGCGAGCTGGAACAAACCATTTTGGGGGGGGGGGTATCTATACTTTTGTTGTTAAAATGTTCACGTACTGTATGCTTTTTATATTTTTAGTGTGTCACACAAACAGCAAATATTGTCAAAAAAGTAAGAAATCTTTGGGGGTCTTAGCCAAAATCGCCTGGCTCAGACCGTCATGAAACGGGGCAGAAATCAGCTGATCTGCGCTGTCTTTATCTGAGCAGTGCGCAGATTTCACTGTACTGGTTTAGTAACGATCATGTTAGAGATTGAGAAAATGTTTGTTAGATGTTCATGTGTGAATATTGCAATGTGCAACAAACAGACAAAACAAAAAACCCGAAAGCAAAAGAGATGAGCGCATTTATTAACAAAGGCAGAGCTCCGGATCTGATAGTGAATAATATAATACAGGTCAACTGTTACACCCAGAGATGAGAAATATGATGCATTCAAATAAAATGCATCATATTTCTTTTTTTACTAATGATTTATTATTTACATTTTATTCTTTATTCTAGAGAGGTGAGGCTGAAATAGTTTGGGCATGTGCAGAGGAGGGACAGCTGGATGTTGAAGATGAAGCTGCCAGGAAGGAGGAAAAAAGGAAGACCTCAGAGATTCATTGATGTAGTGAAGGGGGACATGCAGAGGGCTGCTGAGGTGACCCCTGAAGGGAGAAGCCAGAAGATAATTTTCCTGTGAGTATGTAAGTAATGTTCACAGATTTATGTTCTGTATTGTTTTACGTATGTTAGATGTTTCTGTGTTAAGGAAGCTATAAAACCACCTCCCACACTCTGCTCCACCAAGCGTGGCCTCCTGACTGCAGGAACTTCACACAGTCACACAGAAACAAACTAGTTTTCTTATTTAATCTGTGTTTAGTTGATAATGTTGTAACCTGACTGTTGGAGGCAGTCATAAGATTCACATGTTAGAACTCTATATTTGTTTTTACTTGACTAATTTAAAAAAAAAAAACTTCTTGAGGATGTTGAGGATTCATTTTCACTGTAGTTTTTTACTCAGAGGGGTGTGCACCCAGCACGTGACAACCTTTAAAAGTCAGTTAGAAAATCTCAGCGTGGAGCTCGGAGACCAAGGGGAGGATTTTAACAGCTGCTCTCGCTTTGAAGTCGTCTTCCTGCTCCGAGGTGAAGAACAATAAATAGGGTGAGGCTGTCCACAGAGACTCACAAGAGTGTGAAACAAAGAGGAAAGACACACTATGACTGAGCTGCGGTGGATCTCAGAGCTTCTGTAACTGAACGGACAATGAAGGCGAGGCCGGCCTGGATTCTTATTTTCTTTCAGCTGTTCGAAGGTAAGAAATACGGACATTTGAATCATATTAATAATAATGTGTGTGTGTGTAGACTTAAACTAAAAGTTTGTAAGAGAAGGTTTGAAATCATAAACCTTGGTAATGAATATATGAAACATTTGATCTCAGGATGGGGGGAAAAAAAATCAACCTCCACAACGAGATGTAAAGAAAGTGGAAAATCTGATGGCTCCTTCTCCAGCTGTTTGGACATGTGATAGACAGAAGGGTTAATCCTCAGGGATGTTGAGACATATTTCCGTGTGGAGTTAACGTCTGTCATTCCCTCCTTCAGCCAACGCAGAGGTGATCTTAAAACGTCTGACGGAGGGTCAGGCTGTGGTGATCTCCTGCTCCCCTTGGCAGGCCCACGGAGGCCTGACGAGCCTCCACCTGTACCACCGCGGTGTCCAGAGCCAGACAACCCTGGTGTCCGTGACTGAGGCTGGTGAGGTCACGGTCGCCACGGATCACAGAGCTCGCCTGGTGCTCCGTGGAGACCTGAGCTCCATGAAGGTCAACGTGACCATTTCTCGCTTAGAGCTGAGCGACACAGGGCTGTACATGTGGGATCTGAGCTACAGAGACACTAACAGCTCTGATCAGATGATCCTCTGCGCTCAGAAGACCTTCGTGCTGGTTGAGATGGCAGGTATGTGGTTACACCACCTCACAGTGCAGGATTCAAGCTTGTTGAGATTTAACTGTTGTTTGTGCTGCAGGGAGGCCGTGCCACTGCTCTCCTGGTTACGCCCCTCTACTCTGGACCATCTTCACAGCAGCAGGGCTTCTTCTGCTGACCCTCACCTGGCTGGCCATCCAGAAATGTGTGAGTAGTTACCTCAGAGATGCAGCTTTAACAGAGCTCTGATAGTTTGGTTGCATAACTCCATCAAAATAACGACTACAGCTGCACGAGTGAGTTACACGAGGCTGATTATCAATTAATGTGTCGGCTATGATCCTGGTCTGTCAGTCATCTGTTTTCTTTGAGGGAATCTTCTGATAAAGTGTGATGTGTGACTGCAGCATCGTTACTCAAAATGTGCTTGGGCTCCTGTCTGCTAATACAGCAGACAGGAGCCCAAGTTAGAGGTGAACCACAGCAGGATCTGTGTTCAACAACCCAGACAACCTCAATAAATGACTGTACGATTCATTTCCTGCTGCGTTATTACTAATACCATCAGTCTTGCACAAAATAGCCAAGGTGCAAAACCCAAGGACAGAACAGTTTCTAATGTAATTAGTATCATTTGCTTTTTTAAGTAACAAACGTTATTTATAAGGTCTGTGATCAGGTACTGGTGGAGTGAGCGTTAAAGGAGAGATTACTGGAGTATTTTGATATTTTGAGACTGAAAACCCCCAAGGGATTATTTTTCTTTTTTTAAAATCAAGACTACACATCCAAGCTACAAAAACAAAAGCTGAAACTTTTTGTTCTATCACAATCTAAAAAACCCCCAAATATGATGTGTTGTAGGTGAAGTTAAGGTCTCATCGCAAACCACAACCTCATGCTCCGATCTATGAGGAAATGGGCAGGAAGCAGCAGAGCCCCAGAGGCCCCCAGAATAACCACGAGGCCCCCTCGCACCTGGAGGAAGTCAACTTCCCCGTGTACGCTAACCCAAACATCCGACAGCTTCAGGACAACTACTACGCCTGTCCCAGACAGCTCAAACTGAGAGACTGACACCGTCGGGCCAACGGTGCTGCGAGCAGTAACAGGAAATAACAGACGCCTTTGCAAAAATACAAGTGCTGCACACGCTCCGATGGTGATTTGCATTCAGGATATAAAAGGATGAAGAAATAGCACGAACCTCCACCGAGGCGACTCACGCTCTGAGCAGTATTCACTTTTAAAATTGTATTTTGTACACATGCATTTAGTTTACTTTGTTCTTTTTAAACATAGTTTAAGGTAATTTTAGGTTTTTTCTACTGAGCTTGAAGGAGCGGTCAAAGGTTAAACATGACATATTTTAAATCCTTATACCAGGGGTGTCGTTATATGGCTTGGGGGCCAGAAACAGCCAGGTAGAGAAGACCTCCCCCATGACCAGTCACACTACACCAACGTAATTAAGTAATATATAAACAAAGTAAGTCTTTTCACCATCTACTCTTCCATTTCCATTAACTACAGCAGCATTTCTTCATCATGAACTCTGATGTTCTGCTGAAATTGCACTTTTTTTTCTTACATCTGAGAGATTCAGTGTGTGGTTAAACTTCTTCACAATGACAGAAATGAGTTAAACATCGCTGTTTACACGATAAATTTTTACGCTGATAACACACCACACTTGTAAGAATCATAGTGTCTGAGTCAGAAGGCTTTTTGTCAATTTTAGACCAATAAATCATTGAGTCGATCTTAAAGACCTCGATGGACTGTTAACCCGACCCCGCTCTACACTCTGTGGAAAGTCTTTGAGCTATCGTGTTTACAGACAGGACAACACACATTAAACCTTCGTGGTGGAAGCAATACATGAGGAGGGGACGGCTTTAACAGCCAAGAAACAAAAAAATGCTATTTTTATTAATATTTGAAAGAAGCTCCATAGTTCATGAAAACATTTGTTTCGGTGCATGTCATTTAACAATCACATTCTATGAGGAGTAAGAGATATACAGAGAGAAACAAAATAAAAACAAAACATTACAAGCCACTGACTTCTCATTAACTCTCAGTACAGACGTTTTTACTTAATATTTCAAACAAAAGAAAAAAAAAAGCAGCCCTAATCCCATAACTTTCCCACCCACCCTCTGTAAAACCTTAACTGAGGAGAAAAACAAACAAAAACAACAACAAAAAAAAAACCCTTGGAGGGTGACAGGCTAGAATCCCACAGTGCTAAAGAGTGAGACGCTCATTGGTTTTTAGGAATACACAGCATGGTGATGTAGCGCTAGGCCAATCTGAATCAGAGGGTGGGGGGAGGAAGCTGGAGATGGAGGTCTCCAACCCCTCTCTGCCCTCTTTATCAAAGAAAAAAAACAAAACAACTCAAACAAATAAAAACACATTGGATCCCCAAAACCCCTGCAATAGATCAGCCACCTACAGCAAGTAGGCCATAAAATCCCCACCTTCACCCCTCCCACCCCCACCCCAAACACTTGTGCATAGTTTCATGATCCTTTTACAACCAGCTCACGTTTTACAAACATCCTCCAAGCTGTGAAAAATGCTCCACAAAAAGAAAGAAAACAAAATTCATCTATTATTAATACCCGCTGTGGGAGAATATATATATATGTGAGAGAGAGAGAGAGAGAGAGAGAGAGAGAGAGAGAGATTAATGCACAATGTTTCCTGAATCAGTCAGGACGGGACCTCATTAAGAAAACACAATAAAGATTCAAACATACAGCATTTTGCATGTTATTCACCATCTTTTTTTTCCTTTTTTTCTTAAACAAACTCAGACCATTTTTGTTTTTGTTTTTTCCATGTAAAGCAATTTTAATATATAGATTTATATATAAAGCACTCCATTTTTATTTTAAAGTCCATTATTTGGTTATTATGTAACTGCTACGGATTTAGAAACAAAAGGTATTCTCTCTTCTTCTGAAATCCATAACTTTCAGTGCTTAGAATTGTTTCTTTTAAGTCATCCTTTGTTGTTGTTTTTTTTTTTGTTTTTTTTCTTTAAACTCATAAAAATGTACATTAAAATGGCGTGGAGTTGGTACTCTGGAACCCTGGCCTTCCTGAGACAAGATCCACTTTTTCGTGTGTGTGCAAGATAGTGAGCAATTATGTCTTTTTTTGTCTTCTTTTCTGTTTTTTATATAAAGGAAAAAAAATATATATAATAAAAATAAAACAAAAAGGCTTCAGATAGTCCATGAACAACATTAACACAGAATAAAGAAGGTTAAACATAACAAGACAACACTGTTCAATCCCAGAGTTCTGAAAGTAGCACAATAAAATCTTCATTCTGTGAAGTGTTGCACTTTTTCTTAAAAATGGAAGCATTTGTCTTTTTTTTTTTTTTTTAGTTTCCCCACATGGTTTCATTCCTTTGTTTTGCTGATTTGTTTCTGAACTCCAGAATAAAAACTGTAAACTGTCAGTGGCCTTGCAGAAGAACAGATGAGTGAACTAAGAGAAAACCGAACGAAAGCTAACAAACCCCGAAAAATAAAATAAAAATAAAAAGGTAGGCACCTCTGAATGAGCCCTAGAAGCCAAGGCTCGGTCTGATGTCATGTCCTTCACCCTCCGTTGCTCAGATTTGGGAGAGCTGAAGTCCTTCTACCCCAATCTATGGCCACAGGTCTGCAAAATACTTTTTTTTTTTGCTGCATTTTTTTTTTTAGACATATGATTTTTTTTTCGATTTTTTTTTTTTTTAAGTTTATAGTCTGAAAAATGGTGCAATACTCAATTATGATCCATACTTTCTTGGATTATTCCACAATGAAAGCCACTAAGGTAGATAAACATTACATTTTCTTTTTAAAAACACACTTATTTTTAGTCCTTGAGTAAACATTTACACATGAACTGTCCCCCCAGATACCTCTTCCCCCCTCCCCTCAGTACTTGTATCATGTTGTTCATATAGCTGGATGAGGGGTGAGGCTGACACTCAGTGCAACGCTAGAGGCTAGTAACAATTAACATCAGAATATAGTATTTGACAAGCAAAAAGAAAACAACAACAAAAATGATACTGAACTGAAGAGAAACGTGAGGCAGAGATCCCTCCGCTGTAATCACGAGCTCTCACGCATCGTTTCACCTCGCAGACATTCATTCACAACGTACAGTACAAGCGGCCTTGTGCAAACACTCAAATACGACTGATGTAAATTTGCCTTTAAAAAAAAAAATTTTTTTTTCTTTTTAAAACCGATCTTTGTTTTGTTTTTTCACTCTGAACTGATGCTTAAAAATAAAATAAAACTCCAAAGTGAATGAATGAGACAAGAAAAAGAAAAACACTACAAAAAAAAAAAGTGTTCACATTACATTATTGGCGCTTCTTTTGATTCAAGTATTTGTTTTCATTATTTTGTATTACTCTGATATGTTTATGATCTTGTCTTCTGGGAAACATTGATGTTGGATACAGAGGGTAAGGAGCTGATGCCAGGGCAGAGGGCGGGGAGGTAAGGGTGTGGGTGGGTGGGGCGTTAGGCTTAAGTGGAAAACAGAAATCTAGCCATAGACACACATACACCCACAAATGTACGCTTGGTTGTATCCTGTGTATGAGCTAGCATGTGCATATTCAACCCAGACCTTTGTTTTTAGAGATTTGCTAATTCAGCTCTTTTTGCCCCCAGATCCTCGACTGATCCACGACTGAGAAGTAGATTTTACTCGAGCTCCAGTTGCCTTTGAGTCCGTGTGACTTAAAATAACAATAATAAATCGTAAAAAAAAAATCAGAGGGGGGAGGGGAGGATGTGATTTCCAACACTAGACAGGTAGATAAGAGTGCAGACGAAGGCGTGGGAGAGGGTGGGGCTTCTCAGTGCTGGTGAAATCCCAGGGCACATCTGAGACTCGGTCCTGGTCACCCATCCCTCCCACTCGGTTCAACTTCCCCCTCCTCCCGTTGATTCAAGTCCAGTGTGGAGCAAAATGCAGGTTTTTCAGGAACAATCGCACAAAAACAGACAGCACAGGCAATAGTGATTGTTTCGTTGAATGATGCGAGTCTAAAGTGACTCTGGAAGAGGGTCAAAAACCACCCCGCAAAGAGTTTTAAGACTTGGTACCGAACTTGAGGTGCGTCTCTTGTTTCTGCTGATACGTCAGATCCCCGCTTGGACCCCCAAAGTCAAATGTGCAGACATGACCTGTTTTCTATATATTCATACATATGCGTGTATACTGGCTGGCACAACCTTCAGGTTTGGAGGTCCAGAGTGAACCTCCAGGATACAGCTTCTCCCAGGCGTGGCTCAGAGAAACGAGCCCAGAGAGGATGAGAAGGCGGCAGCTTGCAGAGAAACAAATCAGGCGTCTCGGCCTCAGAGTGCACAGCTGAAACAGACTGTGGTTTTTTTTGTAGTTTCTAGTTTTTGCAAAAACCTTGATGATAAAGGAAAAAAAGAGAACGATAATGTTTTTGGTTTTTAAAGAGATGTACCCGATGTGACCCATAAACAGTGCACAGACACATACAGGGACGCTCCCTCCTCCTCCTCTTCCTCCTCCTACTGGTGAGTGACCAGCCCCACTCATCTGGCCTTAAGCCTCCCACAGCTCCCACAGCCCTGCAGCGATAACGTACACTCATTGTTGCTAAGGATAAATCAGGATGTGGCCAAAAGTGGAAGTAGACTTTTAGATATCTGTTGGCACAAAAACTCAACTTGGTGCCTCCAGCAGGTCATTTAGTGTCATCTAACAGCTCTGTCCACTACACGCCCCGCCCCCACCCTTTATTTTTTTCTATTCTGAAGAGAGGCTCCATCAGTGTCCCCTACATTTGAATCCAGGTGAGGTTTCAAGAGAAGCTGCCCGGTAATAAAGGTTGAAAGGGTTAAGTGGAAAATTGGCGGCTGTAGGGGATGGCTGTGAGCGAACACCTCCTTGTCTTTGCATAGAAATGGAAGGCTGTCATCAAGTTGAGGTGGTTCTAAGTGACAACTGGGTGCTCCCAGAGTTAAAAGCACCAGCGTGAGCGAGGCCCATCAACACTAAAAACGATGGGTGTGTTACGACACAGCGCAGTGGACGCTCGGTCACCCCAGGATGGACAGAAGAAGTTGGCTTGTCATCCTGGAAAACCTTAAACTACACCCCCCTCCCCCCTCCTTTCCATCCTGAACCCCCTCCCTCAGTGATTCACGCGGCTGAGGCGTACCTCTAAACTACACGCTGGTTCTGCCTTGGAGGCAGCGGCGGTGGGAGGGACAGGAAAGAAGATGAACACTGCATAAAAACCATGAAATCATCAAATATAACAATCGTTCATGATAACAGCAACAATATCAGCAAACTTCTCACAACAAAACAAAATTAAAATGCACACCAGCAACTCCAATAAAAAAAAAAGAAGAAAAAAAAAAGAAGGGGAAAATACAATAAAACAAAAACATCAGTCGACTCAGTGTCCGGATAAAGTGATCCTTGCAGGAGAGAGACGGGAGGAGAGAGTGGAAATGGAGGTTGCTGACAGACTCTGGTGTAGCAGTAGTAGTAGTGAGTAGTAGATTCAATACAAGGTGGCGGGCCAGTTCTGAAGGAGCTGCTCTTGGGAGGAAAAGGAGAAGGAAGAGGAGGGAAGCTAGTCTGTAAGGGTCCGCAGGGAGGCAGCGAGCGAGCGTGGGAGATGGAGGGAGGGGGCGAGGGCTGCTGCAGCACTGCACTCTGCAGCAGGCAGGCACTCAGTGGCCACACTATCACACAGGTTGGCAGGACCTCCAACAACAATAACAACCCAAAAGCGGGGGTGGGGGTGGGGGCGATCCTCCCTGCTGAACCCAGTAGAACATGAACACGTCGAGTGTTTCCAGACACCAAGGATAAAGATTTCAAAAGTTGCAATGTAACAGTGATATCTACTTTGATAGCAGAGGGGTGGAGTTCTCTGAGGTCTTTTCCTGCCACCACCCATCATCGCTTGACTTAGTTCTTCTTTGTGTTTCCCTTCACTTTGCTACTGTTTGACATCCTTTCTGGTCCCGCTGACTCGAGGGAAGAAGGACTCCAAAAAAAAGGGGGAAAAATAAAAATAAATTCACATCCACGTCAAGTTCAAAAATAAGTATACAGAGAAGCCACTAAGCAGATTGCTTTTTTTGTCTTTTCAATTTTTATTTGCCAGTGATGCTTCTCCTTTCTTCTGTTCGCTGGCATTGAGGGTATGAGGAGTAGCCGTGCTCTTGCTATGTGCTGTGATAAGACCACCAACTCACACAAATCGTTGATTCAGACATTTCTTGAAATGCAAATGTGGGTAAAATGGAGGGAAGGGGAGTCATCTGGTCTTCTTGTTTTGGTTTGACGCCATCACCCCGTCATGCACGCACGCACACACACACACACACACACACACGCACACCTGCCCGTCCTTCTCCCCAAAAATCAGTCACAAGCATAATCGTGGAGAGTCGGGTGGTGTGTGCGTCCTTGTGTTTTAGACAGAAGGCCAGCGTGCTACTCTCCTGACACCCTGCTGGGGGAGACAAAGGGAAGCTGTAGTGGCAGGGTTTTTTTTGTTTGTTTGTTTTGCAATGAGGAGATGAGGGCCGGTACAGGTGGGTGGATGGGTGGGTGGTGAAGTTGGCGGGCAGACAGATAAAGTGTTTGCAGTTCATTCGTTACTGTCTCCTCTATTAATCCCGCGAGAAGGGGTGCTTGGACGGTGAGAGTCTGTGGCTATAATATTGCACGTCGCTTGAAATGGTTGCTTTGCAGGCGGAGTGGGCGCGCACGGTAGAGGGGGCGAGGCAGAGGGAGGGAACGACTTACGTTTTTTTTTCTCCTCCTCCACAGCATCAGTGAGTGGGTCTGAGAGAATGAGACCAAACTGCGAGGTGTCTCCCCGCAAGTGAGTTGAGGTGCATCGAAGTGTTTCGTCTTTACAGTTCCATAGTAATAGCAGTGGTTCATCGTTGTCGCCCATCTTAACTGTACATGCGACGACCCCACCCACCCCGTCCCTCCACACCACCACATAAGATTGACAGACACATTTTGAATAATATCATTTCTTAGCTTTGTTTGCAATGGTTCAAGAAGAGAAATTAAAAATAAAACTACAAAAATAAATGGCTTGAACAAGGCGAACAGAGTTGCATCATTCCCTTTGAGCGCTGTGAGGGGAACTCAATCTGCTTTTAAACAAACAAACAAAACTAAACAAAACAATGCACTGAAGTCGCGAGCTGTGGTTGCTTAAGCGGTTGTTAAGCCGCAGCAGCATGTACTCTCCACTCAGGTTTCACTGGCTCAGAAATAAGGGTGTGCAGGTGTCCGTATGCTTCTTCACCAAGTACAGAGTGAGTGAGGATAGCAGGGCAGGAAATAGTTTAAGGCTAATTATTAGTGCTGAGAGAAACAAATGTCGAGTCTGGACCAGCTGAAAGTTCAACAACCACTCTGATTGAAGGGTTTTTTTAAACTTTGGGAATGACGCCTTTTTTTTTCCATGGATCTCTGAGGTGCAGTATGATTGCCTCAAAAAGGCAGTGAGGGATTAGTTTAAAGATGGCAGCTCGTCACTGTGTCAGTTTGACTAAAAGTACGTCTCGCACGGCAAAGTTCTCAAAAGTTCATTTCTGAAAAAATAAAATAAAGTTCTCGTTCCTGTGAAGTAAAAGCTGAACACTGATCAAAATATCCGTTATTGGGATTCACAACAGAACTGCAACTAAAAATGTCAGTAAAAACTCAGGAGGAGACGAGGCTGACGAGGGCGAGCAGCAAGGTGTTTCCTTGTCCTCCTCCGTCTCTCCTTTCCACCTTTACATCCACGCTGATTATCTCCACATTGATTTGCAAGGTTTTTGCTCCTGTTTGTGTTTGTTTTTGTAAGCCTAGAGTCTTCTATCCTACATGGACTCCCCGCTCAGCAGGTCCCCAGGCAGCAGTGTATTGATTGGGGTGGGGCTCCCCATGACCCGTCCCTCCTCTCCACTCGGGGGTCCCCACAGGCTGGAATACTGCTGAACACCACCCCACAGCAGCTCTCCGCCTGTTTTTGTTCCGCCTGCTCCCAGGCCGCCGCTGCTACTGTTGCTGCCGGCGCCGTTGTTGTTGTTGTTCCAGTGGGGCGAGTGCCCGATGGGGTGAGACGCTCCAGACCCGGTCCCGCCCATCCTTGTCTGATTGGTGCCTGGAGTGGCCTGCCAGCTGGTTGTTCCTCCGAGTGACTGGCCCTGTGCAAAGAAGCGGTTCACTTCCTCTTCCCCGGCGAACTCGGCCAGGATGGTGGTGTTCCCGAGCACGCACCTGGGTGGAGATGGAAGCACAAAGACAAATGATTCATGGTTAAATGCCCTAAAATCAACTGAGTGAAACACTTTGAACCAATGCGCTGATGCACGTACATGTGCAGGGACTTTTGCGCCTTGGCAGCTTCGTCCTTGGAGCTGTAGCGCACTACAGCGTTTCCCTGTGTCAGGTTGAGGTGGAATGTGATGAGGGGGCCGTGTTGCATGCACAGTGTTCGCAGAGTCGAACCATCAATCTGAAAAAGAAAAAACAGCTGCCAATGGTGAGCCAGCTCATTTAATTTTAGCTACAAAGGGGCGTATTTTCAAAAACTGTGGAGAAGCAAGCCTGTTACCTGCGGAGTGAGGTTCCTCAGCACGAGCCAGCTACTTGTTCTGGTGGAGCTGTCTGTACTCCATGTGGTACCTGCTGTGCACGAGAAAGAGACAGCAGTGAAAGGAAGAAGTCTGTTGGCATGTGGTTCATACTTCCCAAGCTTGTGTGAAACCAGAATCAAGTCAGTTAAGCTCAATGGGTGGTGTCAACTTCACCCACGAAAAAAGAAAAGCTGACCAGAGTCAGTTGATTTCAACGTTCAACCACAACAAGATCTTCTCGAGGCGTTATTCCTGCCTGTGCTCTACCTGTACAGCAGCCCTGCGGTCGTAGGCCACATCAAAGTGCCTCCTCCTATGAGAGTATACTGACAACCACGCTCACACATAGTACTTTAAATACACCAACCTCTGCACGGCTCACAGAATGTGAACTTTTCCTCTTTGCTATACGGTTTCATTTCTAATTATTCCACTGTTTTCATTTTTTAAATGTCCAGTATTTTCACATGAATGCTGTTTTCTTCCAAATCACCCATGGAAACAATTCCTATTAGAAGTGCATTGTCTTCCGAAAGTTTGAAGCTTTGTTGGTTTGTTATTTTAACAGTTATATCTGTCTTTTGGATTAATGACATGACAAAATTCACGTGAAGCATTTGAAGAGGAACATGACAAACATTGGAGACACAATAACCTCTTTGTAACACTACCTGTGGTGTAAGAGCTGCTCCAGCCTTGTCCCAGACCCAGAGAGCTGCCCCCCCAGGTGGAGGAAGGCTTTGTGTTGGTGAGGCCAGGCGGGGGGCGGGAAGGGGCTGTGGTGCTGCTCCGAGGGCCCTGTGGGACCTTCCACAGCTCGTGGGACAGAGAGGCCTGGCTGTGAGAAATGGGGCCTGGAGACCAAGTGGATTTCATCTCTGACAGTTTACCTACAAGAAAAAGAAGATGGCAAAGGTTGGTCTGCAGAATCATTCGTCCGAAAGACAACCGCTCCCGCAGGAAGGAGTCCTGCAGGATGAAATCGCTGAAAAGTTCTGAGAAACTGTCCAAAGGTGAATATGAATAAGCAAGTAAAGACTGCATTACAAAGTACAGCCTTTGCTGGATTTTACTCCAAAATAATCTCATCTTGTGTCATGGTACAAATCTATCTTCTGTTTCTGTGAAGCACACACTTTACATATAAACCAAAAATAACTGAACTTGGTGGCCTTCATGCACATTTGTGTGGCGCAGGAGGCACAAAACCCCACAGTGTGTTAGCGTATGCATGAGATGTGTTTGAGAGACACACAAAAGGAAAATTACTTCTTTCAAACAGACCAGTTAAGAGTCGCTATAAAAACGGGAAACACGACAAGCTGTACTCTCCATGCCGCACACAGAGGAGGAAGGAGATGCACTAACATCGCAGGGAGGGGATTATGCACTGCATGATACACAAAACTGACAGGGATACAGCTCAAATGAAGGTCACGTTTAATCAGGGGCAGTGACTCGTATGGAAAAGAAGACACGTCTCTCCAGTGAATGGCTGAAGCTCTGGGTGTTAAAGTAACAGGAAGGAGAGGAAAATGCTGACTTGCAGTGAAATTAGCCACTGCAGTGTGGCGAGGGGGTGGGTGGGTGGTTGTGGATAAACCATGTACCTGCATCCTCCATCTCCGGGGACGAAAGACTGAACGAGCTAGTGTAGCCACTGACTGGCCAATCAGTGGAGGGAGGCAGAGCCTCGTTCTGAGATGAGGTGGGAGAGGAGCCTAAGCCGACGCCAGCAACACAAACAAATAGATACAAAACAAATAAGGAAAACGCAGCAGAGAGAAAATGGCATAAAGAAAAACACACAACAAATGATGACAGTAAGGTTCTTTAAGAAGAGAAGAATATAGAATATGACAATGATTACAGCAGCAGTTAAAAAAGTAGGAAAATGAAGAACGAAAGAAAAAGAAGCAGGCTCTGAGGTGGCAGAAATACACCGGATCACGGCTGATTCATACACCTTTCTTTTTTAAAACCCATCTCCAATTCATCTCTTTACTTATTTGACTTTAAACATCAGAACCAAAACACTCAAACTGAGCATCTTGATTTGGAGGCGACGTGGTCCGGCCTTCACTCACTTCTCCTGTTCTCACCTCCGCTCCTGTCCCGGAGCAGGTAGCGGTTGACATCTTGGATATTTGTGTTGATGGTGGGTCCGCTGGGGACGCTGCCGGGGGTCACGTTGGGGTCAGTTTCAGGGTCGATATTCTGGAGGCCCTTCCACGGTACACCAGGACAAAACTCTGAAAGTAAAAGGAACACGTGCGCATGATTTTCTTACTTACGGGACACCAAAGAAACTTATAACAGGCATGTTTCACAGGTCAAGGTTTTTCTATTATGCTCATTTTCTGCACATGAATTCAAATGCCTGTCCTGAAGATATGACAAAGCAGTTTTTGGCAGACAACATAACAAACTTAAAGCTGACAAACTGAGAAAGTGAGCGATGCTCACCTGGTGGCCAGTTGATATTGGTCCCATTGGCCATTTTGTCACTGCTGCCTTTGCTTTGTCCCCAGCTGTCTGGAGGCACCAAAGGGCTGGAAGGAGACTCTGAGCTGGATATCAGGCTGTAGGGGCTGTAAGATTCATCCAGCTGAGTGGGCTTTCCAGGAGGGCCCAGGTTGGCACCTAAGAAAAGCACAATGAGACATCTAAAACCCAAATACATTAACAGTTTTTAAATAACTGGCAGAAACTGCTGAAAAAGTATTTTCAACACGCTCAAATACAAAGGGATTTTCAAGCTGGCGTTTGGTCTCGTAAACATATTGTTTGAATATATCATGCTGGATATACAACTTCCAGTCCACATTTCAGATCTGCATTTTACACATTGAACACTCGTCTCCAGTGTCAAAAGGCTATTAGGTGAAATAATCATGACAGTGAGCCCCGTTTTCTTTCTCACCATGCTTGCCCAGGTTGGGCTCCAATGGAGAAGAGTTTCCAGAGAGGCTTTCGATTGAGTTTGGGTGTGTCCACTGTGACAGGCGCGATTGGGGTTGGGGGGGTTCCTTCATTGACAGACTTCCCACCTCCATGCAGTTTACATTCAGTCCAGCTGAGGACATAAAGGAGATGTTACTTCACAATCCTGCAAGGACTACTTTTCCACATTCAAAGAGCAATGCTGATACTACTCACAGAGAGAGTAGGGGCTGTAGGTGTTAGGAGATGACTGCGGCTCTTTGGTCTGCAGGTCAGGGAGGCCTGGAGCCTGGGGATGACCTGGAAATGAATCCAGGGAGGATTTGGCTCCACCAGGGTGCAGGCCTGAGTGGGAAGGGGGCGGTTGCTGTTGCTGCTGCTTCATCAGCAGGGCCTGGGCCAGCTGACGCTGGTGCTGTTGGATCTGCTGCTGCATGTTATTGATTGTACGTGCAACCTAGGAAAAAAAATAAACATGATGGATATTCAATGCGCAGGTTTTAGAGATCCAGTAGGGGAATTAAAAAGTGAACCTACTTGCTGCTCTTGTTGTCGAATGGGGCCAGAAACATTGCGCTGCGCCTGCAACATCTGCTGCTGAATTTGTAAACGCTGGTACGCCTGTGCAGGCATAAGCAGGATTAAAAGTTTCTCAATGCCACGTACAATAAATGTAGATTAAACAATATGACCACATGTCCTTTTTAGTTACGTATGAGGTTAAAGATGAATTTAAAATGCTCAGATGTATCCAACAAAACTGAAAGCAGATAAAACTAAATGAGACTCACCAGTTGCAGCTGGTAAAGTTGATTTAGAAGGGTCATATGTTGAGGGTTTATTGGTGAGGTTAAAAGTGCAGGATTCAGACCAATGTTTTTTGCTGCAAACTGTAAGAGCTGTGCTTGAACCTGTGGAAGAAAAAGATAAGTAGACAATGACTTAACAAAATGAAGACGTAAAACTGAGAATCTGCCTTATGTATAGTCTGCACCTTTCTCGTGTTAGACTGAGACATTTGAACTGAAATAATAAATGTAAGAATCTCACATGGCGGCTTTTAAAGGTTATGGTACAAGTCTGAAGTATTTACCACTGTATACATACAAACTCGTTCTCTCCTAATATTTAGACAGGAAGTGTTAAATAAGTTCATATGTTTGTGTGTATGAGCGTACCTGAGGGGAGAGAAACTGAGGCACTTGAGCACGTAGACTAGGCTGAGAGGAGCTGAGAGGCGGCACTGGTGGCTGAGGAGGCGGCTGCGGCATGGCCCGGACTTGTGCTGCTCCACCACCGCCAAACATTCCACTCTGCACCTGCCGAAAAGAGGACATGTCGATCATTTTCTTTAGCATTTACTCTACTGAAGTGACCTTGTTTTAATGGAGACGATTTACATTTGTGGCTTTTAAGCATCATAAGACCAGCTCAGGTATGATGTACTACAACGTGCAGAAATCCCAGGAAACATTTAGACACTCTGCTGTCATCAGCTGGGAATTTAATACTGCACATGCAGAGCGTATTTAAATATGGATTAACAATGGAGTGACTCACCTTATCCATGAAGGGCAGGCGGGGATCTGCTGAGGGGTCTTTGGAAAGAAGCGGAGGCCGAGGGCAGCTCATGGGCTTGTTGATGAGCCCGTTGTTGTAGTCGTGGCCAGCTATCCCCATCCCACGCTTGTCAAGCTCCGTCTTCTTTTCCAGCAGGGCACTCATGGCCTGATCCAGGTTCATGTTGTTGCTCTTCAAAGCCTCCTCTGCTGGATCCCTCTGAAAACAGAAAAGAGATGAATCCCAAAATGTTCGGATCAAAATTATGCTGTTATAAGCATTTCATGATTAGCTTTATTATTATTATTAATTACTAGTCTTTTAATCAGAAGTTTATAAAATGGCTACTGAATGTTTTTTTTTTTTAATATATTTATATTTGAAGAAAAGACTAAGCACTCACAGGGAAGCCCATGTCAGTCAGCTGCTTGATGAGACGATTCATGATCCAGACCTCATCCTGCTTCCCTGGGATCTTCCCCTGTGGGAGATGTGATCAAAAATGACAATGTCAGTGCAATTAACTGATTTCTTATGATGTCAAATAAAAGCATAAGGAAGTGTTCTTTATCCAAGCATTTGTGCTGCACACCTTTGGTGGGGGCTTTTTATTTGCATTGCTCCAAGAGTTACAGGAAGAGTTGCTCTCCTGGGAGGCAGTGCTATTCCACATGTCTACCTCCTCTGCATCCCACTGACCACCTGACAGGCTCAGGTCTTCACTTCCACCTCCCCATCCATCTTGCATAGGTTTGGGAGCTGGAAACAACCACACAAAAACGCATAACAACAAATAATAAGGGCAAAACAGGTACCTTATGTGGCATATTTGTGATGTTTGTCATTATTTAAAATAACATGCTCAAAGTACTACAATATCTCACATATCAACAGGATGGATACTGAAACCCAGTATTAGAACAATGACTGGGCCAAAGTATTAATAAAAAAAAAACCTTGATTAAAGCAGAGTTCTGTTCTGTTTTTAATACCCATTATCTCTCTTTTAGAGCCTCTGAGTGTGAGGGCAGCTGTCTCTTACAACCACGGCTGCACTGTGCATCAAATACACAAACAGACTTGTTCATACGCCCTCGAAAGTGTGGTTTCATTTCTGAAGAGTAAATGCTCACAACACTCAAAGCCACACATGCAACAAGTTTTTCTTTTTTTTTTTTTAATATAAATATGCCAAGACGGAAACATGAGCAATATGTCAAAATATTTAGCAAAAGAGTAATTTGCCTTAGTTAAATTAACATAGTTGAACCACTAAAAGTAACCATTAGTCAGCTGAATGAGGCGTTTTGGTGGTTTAAAAAAAAAAAAAGTTAACATTAAGAACATGAATGTAAGTTATGTGTTACCATGAGCACAAAGCTACTATTAATTCTATTGTTATTCTTATTGTCTTTATAAATAACAAGAAGTTAATTATTAAAATAAGCAGTATGAATAAGAGCAACAGGTAAATTCTATTCTATTATCTACTATTCCCTGGTCCAAGTTAATCTCAACTATATGGGTAGGATGTTTGAACCACGCTTGACAACCTGGCTCAAAAGCACTGGGGATGGTTGGGTAATATGCATGAGTCTCTTAAGCTGGTAATGTTTATAATGCATAATTAAAAACTTGTTTGTACGATGTTATACATCTAGTAAATGTGAAGGTTTTATGTTTCACATAGAGACTGCGTCAAAAACATAATATAGCCACTAGGGGTCAGTGTAGATTTATGTGCAAAACCCAAGTACTCCTGCTTCCCTTGTGCCATATTGATGTCCTTGACTTGACTCACCAGGAGAGAATTTTTAAACTTCTGTTTTTAAGCAGTATAGCAACACATACAGTATGATTGTATCCCAAAGCTATCCACACTTGGACGAGACTGAGCCATTTACCAGGTTTACAAGATGCAGGTGTCATTGTCGGGTTGCCCCTGCCATAGCTCTCCGGATTGCTTTCCCCCCAGCCGCCACAGTTCCCACTGGGTTTGCCCCAGGCAGACGTCCCATTATCCACGCTGACCGGGGAAGATGCAGGTTCCCCCCAGGAGCTCTCCGATTTTGTGTGGGAGCTGGATATCTCTCCCCAACCTGGAGGACACACAAACACAATCAGTACTACTTTTTCAATATTGTGACCACACAGTGTCAAACTAAACTACAAAGATTTTGTTGTTACGATACGCCATTTGTTCATTACACTGACTTCTGTTTGCAAAATTGTGTGTTTAAATGACAGTTAAGAGACCAAATCATTATTTCTTGCCCTTCATACAGAGCAACAATAAGGGCTCTTTGTGCCATACAGCACGACCTGGTTTACTTTGCTAGCTAAGTTTAAATGTGCATGGTAGATGCCTAAGACACAGAAAATGGGATGGAAATCTAACAGTGATGTATGATTGTGTCTTGACCATATTCAATGTCCATATATACATAGAAAAACCAAACATTTTAGTATTTGATCCCTAATAACCTGAGGCTTAAATATAACTGAGTCCGGTTAACACCACTAAACTGATTTAGCCTTCTGCTTTGAAGTGTGAAATGCCAGCCATGCAGAGAGGCAGAAACCTGGGTTTGGCTTAGCAGGAAGGTTGATGGAGGGAGGAGATGCCCATTTAAGATTTGGCATGGTCCCGTCCCTTTTGGCAAGAAAGACAGAGTGCTGTCTCTAGGCCTGCAGCAGCGCCAAGCTCAGTTTAGCTCTCTCCCCAGGGAAAGGTCAAGTCCCAAGGGCTGCTTCAAAATTATAGTTAACATTCAACCCTCTTGTGTCACTGGGTAAGAGGTGCACTGATCTAAACAAGATATAATCTCATCTCAAGAGTTTGTTTCTATCCATCGTAAGTCACTAAAACTCTATATTAAACAGCCAGTGAACAGCCTGCTGTCAGGATTGATCCAAAGGGTTCAACATGAAGAGTCAAATGAGGGCCAGCAGGAGGCTTCTGCCCAGTGCATAGTGTCTTGCTCCTCCTCCTCTTCCTCTTCCTCACTTCAACTACTGACAGATGGTGGCTCCTATATAATCACACACTTCCTATCTATCTCAAACAGTTTGTGGTGAATCAATATTTTCACGAGGCCCTTTGTAAACAGCATTCTTGTGTTTCCTCTGCCATGTGAGGTTGCCAGGGTTGCCCCCATAGTCTAGCCGAGAGTTGTGAAGTGTGAGGGCGTCACTGAGGGACAGGCCTGGCACTACCCACCTGATTTAGATAGTTGATTAGAGGCAAATCCAAAGAGAGTAAACTAGGTTAAGATATTACCTTTAAGTGGATCAACAGCTTGGAGCTTAGTAGCGGACAAAGCCAACCACCAAACAAGCTTTTTAGCACCTTTTGCTTTGAACAGTGAACAAGGATGAAGAAACTAGGAAACCCAGGCAGGCATTATAGTTTACCATTAACTAGATTAAACTCATTGAAGTCAAAATTTGAATGCTGACTGTGTATATTAACTATACATTGTTAGCATTCATAAACAGGGAAATCTGAGCAAGTCATGTTACAGTCTGCATAATATATAGTTTATATCACCTTACCTTGAGCCATCAGGGGACCTCTGCTGTGAGATGCTCCAGGCTGGTGTTGCACAGTAGGATCCAAAGGCCCGCTGGTGGGGCCTGAGTTCTGGCTGTTTTGGCTGTGGCTCTGTAAAGGTGCAGGTGGCCCGTGGTAAGGGTGATTGAGAGGGTGGGGATGGTTGTTGTTGGTGCTGGGGGGATTATTGCCTCCAGTAGTAACTTTAGCTTGGGACGATCCTGAATTGTTCCTGTCCCACAGATTGACTGCCTTGTTGTAGGTACCGGGATCGCCCCAAGCAGAGGTCCCGTCATCGATCTCCATCTTGCGTCGGATGGAAGGAGGGGAAGGCTCTTCCCAGCCTGTAGGCTCAGTTGTTGAGGATTCCTGCTTATTTCCACCTCTACCTGGACCTTGTTTCACTGAGCCCGATCCCCCCCAGGACCCCATGCTCCCTCCTCCATTGTTACCACTAGGCCCATCTTGAGGCTTGCCCCCCCAGCCTTGAGAGGGACCACTGGGTCGCTGAGGAAGTGACTCTCCCCAGCCACCATTACCTCCAGGTCCTTGAGAAGACATTCCCCAGCCTCGTGGTTCTCCTTCCCAAGCAGTAGTGGGACTCTTTTTACTCTCTTCTGAGTCCCCCCACTCTGCTGTGTTATTGCTCACTCCACTGCTAGCCCAAGTGTGAGATGCTTTGGGCTGTTCTCCCCAGTTCTGGGATCCTGACTTGATGTGAGAATCTTCCCACCCACTTGGCTTCTCTCCCCAGGACTGACCACCATTTTTGGGTATACTGGTGCTTGGACCTCCTGGTGGAGGGTTTCCCCAACCACCAGGGCCACCTGGGGGCTTGATGTTGCTGGGTGGCTCTCCCCAACCAGAGCTTGGCTGGTTGGTAGCTGCTATGTTACCACCCCAACCAGAAGTGCCCTGAGAACCAGGCGCATCATTTTTGCTCCCAGAGTCAGTCATCTGGCTAGGGCCTGTGTTAGTGTTGGAGGGCCCCTGGGCATCGACTGGAGTGGTTGAGCCAGAGCCCCATGATCCAGTGCCTACATCGCTCTTACGTTTGGTATCGTCCATGTCCCAGGAAGTGTGCTGGCGAACGGGAGTCTGTCCCCAGCCACTGTTGCACAGCACCCTGGGGTCCAGATCCTGGGCAGGCATCAAAGGAGCTGATTTTTCTCTGGATGACCGGTCTTTTTGCTGGGGATGGCCTTCCATGCTGTCACTGCTTCCTTCACTAGCCGCAGCTGTGCTTACAGCCCTGCTCCATGAGATGGACTGAGAGTCCTGTGCGGGAGAGCTGGGTGTATCCCATCCTCCCTGGGTCTCTTCAGGGTGTTCACCCCAGCCTCCAGAGTTCCCTGTTCCATCTCCTTCATGGCCCCAGCCAGGTGCCTCCTTAGATGAACTTGCCTTTGAGTTGCCACTGTTACCCCATACTGAATTACCATCTTCACCATTGACCTGTGAGCCTCCTGGCGGTGGCTGGGTCATGGAACCCAAGCCTACAGGTGCACTTCCCCAGCCAGGCAAACTGCGGATGGGGCTGGGGGGTTCCTGCTTATTAGTGTGATTTGGTCCATCAGTTTTAAGGTTCTGAGGTTCTGAACTGAAAGACACATTCGTGGACGGGGAGGGGTGTGGCTCTGCATCAGAAGCCATCATGGTAATCCAGGCATTGCCAATCCCCGAGGAGTTGCTGTTAGTGTTGGCTCCGGTACAGGTGCTGGTCTGGGCTGGTGGGGGGCCAGGTGGATTGCAGAGGTTGGGTGTAGAGTGAGGAGGTGAAATGGTGTTGGCTCCCCCTGAGCTGCCTCCCCCTGTGCCACTTCCGTCATGCCCCAACATGGGCCAGGCAGACGGGTTGGCATTAGGGTTTAGGTTCAAGTTAAAGTTGGTGCTGGAGGATGATGAAGGACCCCAGCTCCTAGTACTGCCTCCTCCTCCTCCTCCTGGGCTGTCACTCTTCGTTTCACTCCCCATTGAGGACTGAGGGGGGCAATGGGAAGATACAGCCCCAGGGCCCCAGCTGCGACTGGCTGCAACCTGGCCAGAGAGCATGCTGGTTCCAGTATGATTGGCAGGGCTGGGCCCACTGTTGGCTTTGCTGCTGAGGTGGTTGGCAGGGAAGTGGCCTGTTTGGCTATTTGCTCCCGTGGCCATACTCACTGTACTACAACTACTGCTAGTACTACTGCTTCTGCTGCTGCTGGTCAGGTGACCAGAGTCAGTGTCCAAAGGGCATCCTCCTGGAGGGACCTGGCTCTGGCTGAGTGTAATAGAAGGCCAAGCCTCTGTGTCCTTCTGGTCGATAATTAGTTGATCCCAGCCACTGAGATTGGTGGAAGATGCAGCACTCGTAGCACTTCTGTTGGCTGGCAGGTGCCCCCAGAGGGGATTATCATACTGGGCTCCCTGGCCACTCTGTGGGGGCAGTTCTGTGTGAAAGACACACACAAGGAAAATAGACACACACACACAAAAAATCATGAGCCATAAGCAGGAGCAACAGGATGACAGCAGAGAGACTAAGTTGCATACGTCATCACACCCACATTTGCTTAGTAAGATTGAAATACCATGGCAACATGCAATGTGTCTTCACCATGCTTTATAAATGAAAATACATACCACCCACATAAAAATAAATAAATAAATAAAAGGAAAAATTACTAATATGATAACAGAGGGGGCTTTAATTAGTAAATGAATAAAAATTATGTACTTTATTTGTATACTACACATTTCTAAAGGAAAAAACACTTTAAAATATGTCATTTATCAAAATAAGGTGTCGTGCATTCAGTACGTTTAAAGAATTTGTAGTAAAACATGACATTATATTTTTCTTTCTCGTCTTTCCCTCAAATGTTCAATTAGTTTAGTGCAATTCTTTAAAAAAATGGCAGTGATAAAATTGCTTTTCTAATTGAAAATGATTGAAAAGTTATGAGTATTTAAAGAAAGGAACAACAGAAAGATTGGAAACGTGGTACAAAGCTAGAATACTATCTCGGAACCTTTTAAGCTAATTGGTAACATGATTAGATAAAAAGGTTTCCAGAGAGGCTGATGGGAAGAAGTTCATACAGACTGCAAGAGGAAGTATTTTATATTTTATCATAAAAAAAACCAAACAAACTGCTCTACGTATAATAATAATAATAATAATAACAATAATAATAATAATAATAACTATTATTATTGTTATTATCATCATTGTGGTTATTATTATGTATTGTAGGTCATAAAAAGATTCAGGCTCAGGAATACTTGTCAACATTATCACTGCATTCATGAATGCAAGTTAAAACTACGCTACCATTTAAAAAAACAAAACTGCCTCATTCTATGGGCCTCAGGTAATTTAAGATTGACTGAGGAGAAGTGGAACAATGTTCTGTGGTCTGACCAATCAAAATGAGCAATTTCTGGGAGAAATAATGGAAGTGGAATGCTCCAGACGGAAGAGGACAGGGACATTCCAGCTTGCAATCAACACACAATTCAAAAGCCAGGAACCGTGATGCAGAGGTGCTTTAGTGGACATGGCAAGTTTCTACCTGTGCACCATTAATCCTGACAGATATATGTGCACAGGCTTTAGAGCAACATATGCTGCCATCTAGGGAATGTCTTTTTTAGTGAATGACTGACCCATATCAGCAAATCAATAACAAACCAAATTCTGCATGTATTTCAAATGCACTGAAATGTATTTATTTTTGTAATACCTTCAGGTAAAAATAACAGTCTTAATTTTTTGACAGCTGCCTTTGCTCTTTATTTTACTGTGCATGTATACAGCTCAAGCATCAATAATAAAGTTTTCAGTTTATTTATTTATTATTTATAACAAACAAGGTTAAAAATAAATCAAATTAAAAACATTTGCATGTAAAATATTTTTGCTGAAATAATTTAACACACACTGCAAACAGAAGTCATAACAGATAGATACTGCACCTTTCCAACTAGTGACGCACAGATCTGATATGTGATATTCCTTTATTGTTGGGGCCTCTCTGTTTACTACAACAGTTGTCAGCACACAGAGCACAGGCTGAATTAATGCTGCGCTCATTTTACCTGTGAAGTTGAAGCTGGGAGTGATGCCACTGCTGTGGTAGCAGTAGTAAAAGCAAGAAATAGCAGGATTTATTTTGGTCTTTAGCAAGGTCGAACCATTCATCCATCGCCAGCAATAACACACAATACCTTGGTCGTTTTTCTGTGTACAGCTTGCTTAGCGAGTCACAAATACACAACATTTATAGCACAGATTCCCAGTTTTACTACTGTTGACGTGCACTGCCACCATCTTGGATTATGAAGTCGGGGTTGGCGGGGCTTCTCCAACTTTCTGAGTGGAAAAATCCTACAACTGGAAGGCAGCATAACACAATATGAGGGAGCTATCAATTCAGCTGCACTGGCTCCCCATTAACTCCAGAGTTAATTTTAAATAAAACATGCTTTTGGGCAAGTTTTTGTTTTTTAATGTTCATTTTGTTGTGACATTTATATTCAAAGGTGCTAAATAAACAAAAATGCTTCCCCATCAGCGTCTCTTGTGTTTGGTTTAACACCTGTTTTAAAGCCTTCGTTTCACTCATGGTAACACAAGTCAACTCAGTTATTTCAGATTTCCTGTTTCTTTTGAGCTCTACTCCAGCTGAGATACAAGTGTGTGACTCAACACATTCCTGTTGTGAGCAGGGCTATATTAGAAGCTAGCGTTATTGTAAAGGAAAACAGTAAACAGTAGTGATCCTCACACTCAACTTAAATAACCCTAGTGCAAATAATTATTATCTATTAAATTTTTTAATTCATTTCTGTGTCCCAAGTTATTTCACTAATAAATACCAATTTAGTACATATATATATATTAAACTCCAGCATCTTAATTTACAAAGTTCATAAAGCAACAATTAGGCTAAATGATGTTATCTTACATTATTCTTTCCATCAGACTGTGGATTACAGCTCAAAGTTGTCACAGGGCCTGTACTCAGTATTGGCAGTTACCCAAAGCCATTGTAATGGTGTAGTATAGGAACTGGAAAAAGCTGGATTGGAGCATCCTTATACCAAAAAGTCAAAAAAGGAATTTAATACTTGGGAACCATGTTGCAGAATGCAATCAATGACAACATCTTTTACTTACGACCTCTACACCTCAGAAAACATCCATCTACCCATACAACTGCATGAAAAAATGCTTCATCTTATTTCTCCGAGAGCGAGTAGAATGGATCAAGCAATCTGGCTGCGATTTTCAGCACTGAAACAATAAACTCCTCTACTCCAATCATCAACCTTGCGCCACCTCACTGGCTCATTTCTGCTACATCTCAAACTGAAGCCTCCGTTGTTTACATGCGCCCTCACATGCGTGCATAGTTTGTATGCAAATACGGCGACTGTCACAACAACAGGAGGGAAGTGATAGGATGCGTGCACCAAGATGTTTTCAAGCTTACTTTAATGCTTGCAACTACAGACAAGGGAGAGAGGGTGCAGAAGAGAGCAAGGGGGAGAAAAAAAAAAAAAAAAAAGAAAGAAAGAAAAAGAGGGCAATGTATTTCTGACACACACAGCGCCGTCGTTCTGTAGCGTCACTCGACTGAGAAGTGCAGGGCCGCCATTTTCTCAGTCCTGAACTAGAGCCAAAAAGGCTCTGATCTCCTGTCTGGATAACCAGTGCTCCTGCTTCAACAGCACACATGCTTTCCTCACAATAACACACACAGAACATCGTAACACGACACTGCATGCTCGACAGTGTACTGTCGCTTTAATATTTAAAAGTGCGCAAACGCAATCAGCCGAAACAACACAGGGATGGGAGGAAAAACAGAGAGCAAGAAGAAAGTAGAAGAGTGTGCAACACAGTAATGAAATACCTGTGGAGAGGTGCCTCCCGACCATCCTGTAAAGAGCTAGGTTGTGTGCAACGCAGCGACCATCCTTGTCTCAATATGTCTGCTCGGCTCGCCAAGCTTCTGAGGCTCATATCTGAAATGCTGCCAAGAAGTTGCACAGCTCTTGCACGGCATGAGACAACCCCCCACCCCATCCTCCTCCACCACCTCCCTTCCTTCCTCACCCCTCTTGCTCGGCCCCTCCCACTAACCCTGCTCTGACTGGGTCTTTCCTCTCCTATCTATTGCTTCTCTCCGGCTTTATTTATATCGCGCTCTATTCCTATCCTGATGGAGGATATTCTCCCTCTCTGGAAAAGCACTGAGACGCGGCCGACTCAGCGGGGAGGGGGAGGGGATGAGAGTGAGAGAAACAGAGGGGAGACTTTTATTATTCACTCTCAAGCTATGATGTAAAACAAAAAAGCAGGGCTCTTCTCTCCCGCCCATGCCCTCACATCTTTCAACCTTTCAAAACTGTCACTAAACATTTAGCTCCGTCTGCAATTAGTGCTGCCGCCCACGACGGAAAGCCTCTTGAATAGCAGCAGCAGGCGAAAGAGAGCGAGAGAAGCCCTTCAGAGCTGGAATGGCAATTTTCCTCACACATGAACAGACACAGGATAAGAATGCACAGGATGACAAATGTCGATTTTTGTCAAAATTTATGGCTGCAAGTCGGAAATGCAGTAATCAAAAACAGAGCTGTCACTTTGGGGAGATGGTTTCTGGACACATGAAATAAGCAAGCTTGAAGGGATCTGCTAATTTGTGTGTGATTTAGTCTGGTTCAAAACATGGTGCTGGAGTGACGCGCACAGAGACAACAGAGGAAGATACCCATGAGATAGAAGGCAGAGAGGGAAGAGGATAGGAAGAGCAGGGAGCAGCAGCTCCCTAGATCAAGGCTGCTATTGTTTACAAATGATCCCAGCACCCACACAACAAGACAATAAGTCAATGTTTAGTGGAGAACAGAGTCCCTTTATGGCTGAAGTTCAGCCCCCTGTGCCTCTCGGCTGTGAGGTCTTAATGCACGGTGAGGTCATGGCCACTCGCTCGCTTTGTGTGCTAACTTACACAAAGTACAGATGGTGCATCCAAGTAGAGGAAAAAACAAACAGCTTCCTGACAACAACTCAGATGCTTCGTTGTATATCTATTACTTTTTATCGTGCAGCAAACTGTAAAAGCAAAAGCTACAGTTTAAAAGAAAGCTAAAGCATTCGGATATCCAATGGTGGGATCACTAAAATTTGAAATGTTCATGTATTTAGTTTGTGATCCTTTAGCTTGGAAAGCTAGGTGGTCTGTGTGATTCAGGTCAAAAGCTGGTGGAGGATTGTTTGCTTTAAAAATTCTCTTTCAAAAAGCGGTTAACACACTTTGGCTCATTTTGCTGAATGCTCATTTTTCTTGATTGTAAAATGATGCGGTCTGATCTGGTACTGGACTGCCTGTGTGCCTTCTGTTCTCCGTCCTTCACTTTAACATTTGTACAACACACCTGA